TGTTATATTACCCCACTAAATATAGGTAATATAGATTCTAAAATTAGAAACTCAAATATGGGATAAATAAATATATGAATTTTATAATATTAAAAACTCACTATATTTACTCCTATTACCCACCCATAATCATGCCCTTAGGAGTTTGGAACCAAGCCAAGCGTAAGAGTTAAGTTTGACAGTCTTTGTAAATCCTTCAAGTGTTCTTCATAATACACATTAAAATCCTTAAAATTTGAATCATTCATTTTTCTTTTTTTTAATGCTTTATTTTATTAAAATTGATTTAGAATAGATTACATCATTGAAAAAATTCAACATATGCGATACAAAGAGAAACTAATGGTCCTTTCCGCACCAAAAATCAAGTGATGACAATAATCGTTGACGACACATTAACGATACTAAGATGATCTTGTTTTGAATCGAAGGTAGACGAGTAGGTGTTCCCGAATCCACAATAGCAGCCGGACATCCAATATCTATTATGATAATATGACAACAATTCTCTTACTTTAGATAAATCTCCTTCTTTGATTGCCTTTGTCAGTTTTGTTCCGAGTTGGCTTAAGTGAAGCCGCCGTTGAACAACTTTGAACTGCAAAACTTAAATCAAATAGATAGCCAAGATTGACTAGATACTAACAAACTATAGATTTTCTACGAGGAAAAAGAAACCTCAACCAAAAACTTCACCCATAAAACTAAACCCAATGAGGGAATCACAAACTAACCTCAATGAAGGGAATCACAAACTAGATCTAAAAAAGTCAGACGGTGAATAACATCGCATCATCTTCTAATAAAAAAGAATCTCATGGACATCTCTTAAACTCCATATCGAACATAAAGTTATAACCATCTCCCTCTCACGAAGCCGGTAAAAACACCGGACATCGGAGAGGAGAAAACTCAAATCACCTTTTTCTCTCTGGCGGCTAGGGTTTTCAACCTCTCTCAATCATTCCTTTCTATTACAATCCTAATACACATTTGATCCCAAAAAATCTATCTCGTAGTTGTACCCATTATATGTATGTAATTTTGAACCTAAATGCAATAAGCTAAACACGATTACAATTTAGTTAAACGAAATTAGTGAAATCAATTTTGTTTGGTGAATTATAAAAAGAAAAAGTTCATGTGGTTTTACAATTAGGGAAACATGTTGAACTTGACAATAAATGGATTTGACACAACATTCAAACTCGAGTCTGGCCATTTCTCTCCCTTTCGTAAATTGTTTGCTTTCGTCTGATAATTATTGTTGCACAAAATGAATTTTAAGTTCATTTTTTCTCGATTCAAATTGAAACACCCCGACCCGGCCTCTCTAGGCCGCGGTCAAGGTATTCCATGTTCGGACCACTTCATGGTCGAACCTTTGGGTCTTAATCCATTTTAGGATCAATTGCCTCTTTAAGGCTTATATCCTTAGGATCTTTACTACGACTCTCCCTCGTCGCTTCTATTAGATCCGTTCATACTTAACATACGCAGCGGAAAATAACTTATCATTCAAATCCTCTATCCGCTCTAAGTTCATTCACCTGAACTAGTCCTTTTACCGGTTAACATCATCCATGCCTTCGGATAGCCCCTTTAGCATAGAATAGCCTTAGCCGGAATCATTCGGTCTCAAGCGCTCATCCTATCTATTGGCCTCCGTTTAGCTTAAAATTTACTATACTCGGTCACGTCAAGCAAGTCAAAGCATCTTGTTGTTCTCTAAACTAACCAGCCTAGATCTAGCAAGTATTCAATCAATCTACAAGAAGGTTAGGCCTTACCTTGGCCAACGCGCTGTTCCGGTTTGACTCCAATCCTTTATTCATGTATCAGC